ACCGACGCTCTACCAGCACTTATATACCCCTCATGGCCCGCCTTCCGCAGCCTAGGATTGGGCTCCCAGAACGAGGCCAAGGAGCACCCTTGTTTGATTGGCTATTTTTCCGTCAATCGGGTATTCTAGGGCCCGCCTTCCCAACGATATACGCTCATTATTGGTCCGTTCTGGCTAGGGGGTCTCCCTATCACAATCCCCGCCCTGGCGCCGCAGTGCTCAATTCATTGGCTGTTTCAAATGATTGATTTGCACCCCCATTGGCTGCCTCCTGGGAGCACGCCGAAAACCTGACACTATTGGCTGCGCTGGGTTGGCGTCCTGGTAACCGCCGCAGTGCAGCGCGCGGGCGGGACGTGGAAAGCAAGCTTCCGGCTGAGAGGGAGGGGGAGTCTTTTCAGAGTTTTGTGGGCTCAGTTTGTTATGAGGGTCTGGGTGCTGTTGCTGGGGAGACAAAGAGTGTAAAGCATTGCTGTTCGGTACACAGTGAGGTCCAGTTTGGGGGCTTCCAAGCTGAGGCTGACTGCAGCCAGAAACAGCAACAATAATAAGCTCCGGCGGTGGCGCTGGGTCCTCCTGGGACGCACTGGGCAGGCGCGGGGTCTGTTTGTTCCCGGGAGGGCCCTCCCTCCGCCCCTTCGGCTGTGCTCCGTGTTGTGGAAACCAGCTGGCCTGGAGCCGGTCTCCTTGGAGCCTCTGCTCCAAGTGCGCACAGAGTTGCATGGAGACTGCAGGGCCGGGCATGCCTGGCCATGACTCTATGAGAGGGAAAAACAAACGAACAAACGTATAGACGTTAATCAAGTCCCTGCCCTATAATAGATCGGTTACAGAATAATACATTTATATATTTCTGCAAGTTTGTCCTCCCTCTGAGGTGTCAGGTTCAAAGCCCCGCTACCCTCAACATGGCAGTGTTGACCTTGTCCTAAACAGAAGGACTTGGCCAGGAAACAAACCTAAAAAGCTTTCTGTTTACTAGAAAAATAGATCTTTTAAGGTGTTTTCGGTTCACCAGGAACTACCTCCCTTAGCCTTCCCCCCAGAATAAACTGCCAAGGGCACGTAGTTCTGAATCCATTTCTGCCATTTGGTCTTTTCCCCCTCACCCACTATGGCCTTGGCAGTTTGATCCCCATTAAATCTTTCTGCCCAGGAACAGTCTAGTTCGGTTGTTTCTCTGTGCCATCATTTCATAGGAGGCAGGATCTTCTAGCCCGTAACCTGGAATTCAATTCAAGGGAATTCTGCCTTAGCCTCAATAATGTAAGGATTTACAGGCCTTCCAATACCTGACTTTGTAACTTTTTTTTAAAGAAACGTTACACTTTGGGGTCTGTTCCAGACTAACCAAGTTTTTGGTATGAACTACTTCCAAAACTAAGGTGTTAGGCACTCCGTATTAGTTGTGGTATCCAATGACCAACAATGTCCCAAAGAAAAATCATCAGGACAAGCAGAATCCTATATCCAAAGCAGCAGCATTCTATTGGGTGGAGTCCCATTGTCCGTGTTTACCATTCTAACCAGTGTGCTAGTCTCTAGCCAGACCTGATTGTCCCCTCCCCAAAAGGGTTGCTCAGAAAGGAGAATGTGAAATTTGTTGCCTACACATACCTCAGGAGAGCTAGATGTGTATGAGAGTGCATCAGGTTACTTTTGGACATGCTGAGAGTTATCTCAATGCCCAGAGCATCTTCTTAGTCGACTCATCCTTGAGAAGTAGCTTGGCTGCCAAGCAGTAGACTTAACCACTAGAATCTCAAAACCAGTACATTCATATCCATGAAGGAAGCAGAAGCTCTGAGTTTTAACACAAAGACCTGCCAGGGTTTTTCTTTGAGATGTTTGAGTCCCACGCTGGACAATAGGTACCAATAACATAGCAAAAGACCGTGGCACTTGGGAGTCAGAGGCAGGTAGATCTCTGTGAGTTCGAGGCCAGCCTGGTCTCCAGGGTGAGTGCTAGGACAGCCTCCAAAGCTACACAGAGAAACCCTGTCTCCAAAGACAAAAACAAACAAACAAAAAAAGACCGTGGCTCTTGAGCATAAGCCCACGAAGGACAGTGGCTACCCACAGCTGATAAGGGAAGAAACTATACATCTTCATCATGTGTTGGGAGATGTTGGGCTCCAGCCCCCAGGGGATCTCTGTGAGTTGCTTGTCAGCTAATAATTACAGGAGTATCCTGTTTTCTAGTCCTAGATTACAGCCCCAGCCGTACCCCACTGGCATAAAAAAAGATGAGCTCTTACACCTGGGGTTTTTCCACTGTGCTGTAAATCTGTATATAAGGCTGCTCCCTCCCTGAAAAAAAAGACAGACGCGCACACACATTCTCCTAGCACAAACGACCGGACTTCTCTGCTTTTAACTAAATCTCCAGGCTTTCACCTGATACCTTGGACTTGCTCATGGTGCGGGTTTTGTGCTAGCGAGAAAGAAGGCCCAGTAGGACAAGAAGATCCGGAGCCTATAGCCTGAAAGGATGTGCACAGAGCTGGCCAGAAGAGCAGGGAAGCAAGGCAGAATGGGCTGTGGGAGCATTAGGTGCCTGTCCTCCCTACCCAGCCTGCAGCTGTTGGAGGCTGCACAAGGAAGGCTCTGTTTACTGGTGGCCATGGTCCCAGTGGGAGGGTGCATTACTGCCAGGCAGGAGCAGCAGGCAGACAGTCTTTGCGGCCTTAAAGGACCCTGTGGTCAGCTTTTGTGGAAGGCCTTCCCTCACCCCGGAAGAAGCGGTGCCAAGGTGTTTCCCCTGTGGACGAGGCC